TCAAGATTAATGTCATTATAAAGTAAAAAGTAATATTATTATAAAAGTAAAAGTATTTGTGCAAAGGTCGGAAAAATCAATCCATATAATTTTATCTCTTACCTAGATACATTTAAAACAAAACCATCTTCATCTTATCAAAAATAAATTTACATACATATTTCGATCTTATCTTTATCCAGCTAATTTTAAAATCATCCAAACACATCACTGTGGATATATGAAGATATAAAAAAAAAAAAGAATTTGTATACTCGCGGATAAAACTTTATCCCGACGCGACGCCTCGAAGCGAGAGAATAAAAATCACTTTAGAACGAAAAAAGAACTACAGGTCCGACAGATTCTTCTAGCCAGGAACGATCGAAGGTAAACAAAAAGGGCAAGAGATTTGCGAGAAGAAAAAGCTTGGACAAAAGAGCGGGAAGACTAAAAGGACAATGGACGGAATAAGGAGAAGATCTTTTGCGGATAGCTCGCGTGAGAGCTCGCTTGCTTCTCAAGCGTGGTACCTGTTCTATACCCCACAAAGAGAAGAGAGAGAGAAGAACCGGACAGGAGAGAAACTCGACGGAAACGTGCGGTGGGTGAAAGGGTTAGAGAAGGGGTAGGTGTGAGAGAGTAGGGCAGAGGTTGCCGGGTAACACGCGAGGGTGGAATAAGAGTTCCCTGGGGTGCCTAGCAACAGGTTGCAATTCGGAAATTTCGACCGGTGTCGTGACGCAATCAGGCCGAGTCTGCTTAAAGTGTGTATTTTCTCGAAACGCGCTTATGCAAAGCGCGTCGATTTCTCATTATTTCTTACAAGGTAGGGAGAGAAGAAGAATCGAGGCTCGTGTTCATGTCTGACATTTTATTACCTCATCAATTTTATATTTAAATGAGATAAATAATATAATTTATATAATGATAATGATAATATTTATGATTCAATAAGAAATATATGTCGGCTCTCAATATTATTAATAATAATAATACATGAATTTTAAATCGGCCAATCAAAATTCGAAGAATTAATTTTTCGCGCTTGGGCTCTATTGGCCGATTTAAAATTCATGTATTATTATTATTTATGATTCAATGTTTTTAATAAATTATTATTTTTTTTTTTTAGTTAAAAATATTGACGTGCATTTTTTTAGTACACGAATAAATAATGATGTTATATTTAACTTTTCGAGATTATATATAGGATGTCATTAGGAAGTAGAAATATTTATGCAAGGGTCGACAAATCTCAAGAATGTGAAATACTTTTGAATCTTTTCGAATTTTACTTATTAAAGATGTACATATAGATATCTTTATATATAATGGATATATAAAGATATCGAATAAAAAAGAATTTGTATACTCGCGAATAAAATTTTATTCCGACGCTAGAGAATAAAAATCACTTTAAATAATTTGATAATACAATAGTTTAACAAAGAAAATAATTTACATTAATAATATTAAATATGTGAAATAAGTAGAATAAAATAAATATTTCTCGTGAAAAATGCAACAAATTTAAATAGTTTGATGCATGAAAAATATTCTATTTTTCACTTTGTATATAATTGCATACTGATAAATTATTTGATTACATAAGTTGTTATTGACGTGTTATATTATTGACTTTCGATGTATAAATTACAATACATAATAAATCTGTGTATTTTCAACCGTTATATAGACTTTTCGTTCCATATTATGTATTTATACAGGGAGGAATAAAAGAATGAATAACTGATGTATAGAAAGCGATTTGATGGAACGATATGGCATCAAAACATATGGTATAAAAATACCACGTATGAACTACGCGCGGGCTTAAAAATGTCAACGTGAAAGATTTATAAATTATTTGTTTATAAATTTACTTATATAATTGATTATTTTTTTAGCGTTAATTGCACAGTGTTGGATCGCAACGTGTTATTCGTGCAGGCGAAATTTCACATTGCATTACGATATGCGTTGCGTGCATTGCGAGCATGAACGTAGCGCCTAATGGATTGTAATTCTGTTTTGTTCATTCGATAGACGGACCGGATAATAATTCGTTCGCAATTAACCCGTGCGAGAATCAACGCGTTAACGCGCGCACGAATTGTCAGCCGGGTGAATATTCCGCGTCACATTTCAATTCGCGAGAAATCAGAATCAATGGAAAATCACGTTCTAAACCGTTTGGTTTCACCAGAATACTCATACTTCACGCGAAAAATATTATCCCGGACTCGAAAGACGTGAAACGATATTCGAGATTTTTTACTAACGAGTTTAAAATTGATTTCTCTTTAGCGAAAATATATTGTTAAAATATTGTATAAATCGAATATACCTTTATTTCTTTATTTCTCGTTTTATTCGAGATAGATTTACTTTTTACGCGATTTTCATTTAAAAAGATTTAACAAATCATTCGACATCCGCGTCTGATTTTACGAACAAAATTTCCTAGCGTTTCGTAAAATTATAATTTCGAACTTCAAGTGTGCTTTTGAATTGCGCTGCCACTTAGAAAACATGTGCAACATGCAAACTATACAGCTAATATACTCTTGATTCAGAGATATGTATCTACTTAGTATACACTGATCTCTTCACATGCTTCAGTGTAATGCGCCGGATGAGAAACTTTGCGAAACTTTACGAAACTCACAATATAGTCCGTATAAATTTGATTCGCGGGGTTGTAATATCGCTAATATTCTACCGTAATTTCTCTGCTTGAAACAATTTTACCTCGAAATATTTCTAGCGTTCATTCGCATTAAATCTCATTATATCACTGTTCCATTTCTCATCATTTCTTACAGTCAATATAAAATCCTATAACACAATTTATTTAAAGAGCACCAACATTTTCATTAAAATAAATTACTTTCAGCGGAAAGTGGCTTCTCTCTTCAAGAGTTTCACGCATATATTAACATTTGCGAGTGTTTTCTTCCATCGAGCATAATTATATATGGCAATTAAAACCCCGAAGAAAATTGCAAATTTCGGAATCATAAAACTTGAACGATTTCTTTTTCCACGTTCTATTTACGTGAGAAAAATATCCGTGTACTATGCGGCATTTCCGATTCGGAGCTAATGAACTCGATGGAACGTCGCATTCGAATGATGATTAATCGGATTTCGCGGTATCTAGATGGCAGTGACGCTTTATTTTCCATTTCAACGCAGGATAGACGCTTTCAGGAAATGAAGGGAAGTGGGAATGGAAAAGAGAGCCGCCTGACGTTTGAAAAGCCACGAGGAAGCCGATGTAGGCACGAACGCGGATAATTAATACAAGAATTTTATGTTGCGTTGCCGAGACGCTCTACCGTTAACTTCAATACTCATGAAAAGCTCTTGAATAAACGAGCCTCGTATACGGAGTGTCCCAGACTTACCGTACGACTTATAAAAGACTTCAAAGGTTATTTGAAGACGATTTTTCCTCGGTGAAAATGTCGAGGAAAGCCATCATTTTTTTAAATGTTCCATTACAATTTTTCAAATGTAATTTTTCATGTATCTTCTGTAACTAAGCCTTAAATAAAAATTCTATTAAAATAAACTTTACCTGAAATTAACTAAAAAATGTAGCTTGAAAATGATTGGTGCCTGGATTCGACATTTTCGCTGAGGAAAAATCGTCTCCAAATCACCTCAAGAATCTCCCATTAACAAGTGGGACACCCTGTATAAGTTTATATGGAACGCAAGTCGCGTGTCGAAAACGATCCTTTCTTCCTTTTCCTTTCATCACATTCGATATATACGACCGACTTTCTCTTATCGATCCGACGAAGATTAGTTGGGCATCGTCAATACATTAAGGGAAAAAAGGCCTATTAATGGCCGCGGAACGCGTGTCAGAAAATAGACGAACGCAAGTGCCCGATCGCGTGACTTCAACCACCCCGTTGATGCGCCGAGATTAGGCCAGTCAACGTAACCTAATTAACGAAAGGATGTTCCGATAAATTTCTTTTGTGCCCCTTTAATCTATATTCAATCTACACATTTTTTATCGTCCATCTCTCGTCGACGTAAAAAATTGATATTTATTATCGTTACAGCGAGATTTTGATGCGTGTCATCTCTGACATCACCATTATTTGAAAGGGAATTGAAAATAGATTTTAAATAATAAAACAGAATAATTATTTTGTAAAGGACAAAATTAAAAGCACTCAAGATGCTCATCATTTTTGTCTGTATTTCGCTTTGATTATATTTTTTCTCGACATCTTCGTTATTATTATATAGAAAATACGGAAGTTAAAATATACATTTTGAATGAAAATTTGTAATGCTCCTTGGAGATGGATCCGAGAAAATATTTGTCTTCCAAGTCTTTTCCTTTCTTATATAATATTATACAGAGTATCTGACATAAAGTGTCATACCGAAAATATACAAGTATAGATCTCGTTATTTGGAGATGATTTTTCCTCGGCAAAAATGTCGAGGGAGCCATCATTTTTTGGATGTTCCCAATTTTTAACATCATGTATCTTTCTAACTGAACCTTAAATTAAAATTTTATTAAAGTAAATTCTACTTGAATTAATTGGAGAATGTGGTTTTGTTAATATTTCATTTTCACAAGGCTTAGTTTGTGAAAAACCCTTTATTTTCAATCGCTTATACCTCGAAAATTATTAATACTTCTATATTTTTGCTGGGGAAAAATTGTCTCTAAATAACAAGATTTACTTGTATATTTTCGGTGTGACACCTTATGTCAGACATCCTGTATACATAAAAAATTAATTATATTTTTCGCGCCTATTTCTCCATATGTAAGTTCGAGGTTAATTAATATATGGAACTTTTAGTAATCTCGTACCAAGAGATACAGTTCCGAATAATTAATTTTTCGTGCTTTGGCTCTGTGGCCGATTTAGAAAACATCATATTTATATTCTTTATATTGAGAGCCGATAAAAATATTTATTTCCGAATAAAAAATTAAGTCTACTTTAATTAATTTACATCCTCTTTACTTTCAGGATGCTGGGTAGCGTGGGAGGTCGACACGTGTCTACGCGTCGGCGAGGCAGCATTCCGCTGGTGCGTGGAAGTGTGGGCCTCATCGGTTATGGCGCCACATCCGGGATCGGCGGAAACGCGGCCGATGGCAGTGCGACGGAACCGGTGCCCAAGTATGCTGCCAGAAGACGAAGGGCCGTCACCACCAGCGACCACAAGAGCTGCGCCCTTATACAGACGCGGCTCAAGCTCGGCGATATTACAATGTGAGTGACAACCCTTTGTATTTTCTTCCATTCCACTTTTTAGCTATGATTCTTACTTCGATATCTGTGGTTCAGCAACTACGATCCCGGTATTTTTATATATAACAATATATACATATAATCGCGAAATTATATATGAAATATGTTCATACGTAATTAGATAAAAGTGCTTTTTATATATAATTGTGTATAAATAATAAATAAATATTTCTTCATATATATAAATATATATTTCATAAAATCGTATATAATTTAATATGATTATATATGAACCCTTACAATTTATATATTTTATATAATTATGTACAAAAATGGACATATTTTACATATAATTTTACGATTGTACAATTATACAATTATTTATATATAAAAATTTATATATAAAATTATATATAAAAAATTTTTTACCGGGCTATACAGGGTTTCCCAAAATACGAAAATGAGGGAGGCTATCATTTTTTGCCATTATGTAGATATTCATAATTAAGCCTTAAATTAAAATTCTATTTAAACTCTACATGAAATTAATAAAAGAATGTGATTTTGTTAATATTTTATTTCCATAAGGCTTACTTATTTTCAATCGCTTATAACTCGAAGATTACTGATGTCTCGACATTTTCGTTGAAGAAAAATCATCTCCAAATTACTCCGAGAATCTGTCATTAACAGATTTACTACTAGTTCTGGTACTCTCTGTATACAGAGAAGGAAATAAAATTTAAAATAATTATGTCGAGAGGCTTAATAGTGCATATTGAATTATCATTATCATATGTATATTTTATAATGATTAATATGGAACATCGCGACATAATTGCGATGTATTTTCTCGAGCAATATTTCAAAAATGTCTACACGTATCATAGCTAAAGAGTTAAGGATAGATTATTAATTTATTTATACGCGAAGCTTTTAATAGTGCTTTTAAGCATTTTACGCTGCTTAAATTATAATGATCACTCACAGAATTACGCGTTTAATAACGGATCATTTAGCTCGTATGAAAATATCACATTCTAATAGGAGAATCTTTTATTAATAATATTTTAATAAAAATTATAAAGAATATAAAATAGAAAATCTCTCGAAAATTTATATGAATGAGAGATAACGATATCAAATTTTATTAATCCCCTCTAAAGGTATGTATATTTATTTTTACTTTAAATTATTGAATCATATCTCTTATCATTCGGAATTTATCACGACTTTGTATTATCAGCGCAATCTATTTTACCGACATGAATTTTACCCTTTTCCACCCCTATATCGTCTTACATCCCCTGTATCGACGAAACGTCGGTACGAGTCGACCAGAGTATGTCGATAAATGGTATTAAACTACCCTCTGTCGTGTTCAACCCCTCGATGGGTATGTTTTAAGCGAGCTACGATCGCTGGTAATATATTGCACCCCGGTATTTGCAACCCTTAAACAAGCGTCGGTAAGTAAAGCAAGATGAAACTTTTGTTTTGATATTTCGCTACTGGATAAATGGTGATTCAAAAAAAAATTATTGCTATTTAATATTTAACTATTATTACCAATACGTTATAATAAGAAGCAATATTTAAAATTTATATCTCCTTTATTATACACAATTTTATTTCTCTTACCATCTATAAACTTACTATAATTATAAATTAACATTTTATGGACAGAATAAGTCGATAGAATATTACTTCTATTGACAGATAACTCTTTTCTTATGAACAAATATTCTTTTTAATCGTTTCAATTTTATATTATAGTATTTAATGTTATATAATTTTATAATTATAATATTAAATACTATAAATATAATGATTATATAATATATTGTATATTAAATATTATAAATATAATTATATATATATATATATATTATATATATAAAATATAATAAAATATATATATAATGTAGTATTTAATGTTATATAATTTTATAATTATAATATTAAATACTATATAATGATTATATATTATAATATATTGTATATTAAATATTATAAACATAATTATATATATACATATAATATAATGCATCAAAGTGCTTTCTGTTTGATTATAATATAATGCTAATTATACTTACAATATCCTAATAATTTTGACATTATAACAATATTAACTTTGTCTTGAAAACACTCTTTTCGATTGACAATCAAACTGATTTATTCGCCAATGATAATCCGAGCCTGCGGTCGCGTCGCGGAGATGGTGCCAGATGGAGGCTGCGTCTGACCATACCGGGTCATGCACTACTGCGGTCGAATTAAAGTCTAATGTAGCGAGGTGTCTGTACTTCCCTCGCGTCATCCGTTCGTCCGTCCGGCTTTACACTCTATCGATTAGCCTTCGATTGTTTGGCCGTTACTTTCTATTTCCAGCAACGCGCGCTGTCACCGACCGTTCACCGGCGAATCTAATTACGATCTGGCCGTCCACCGACGATCGTTTTCTCCTTGTTTTGCCATTTTTCACCCTCCCGAAACACTCGTTTTTTCCTAAATTTCCCGATCTTCCATACCGAGCATGTCGATCCTCTTATGGACTTTTCTAAGAATACGGAATCGGCGAAGGTATCACTTTGAACTTTTGCTGATATTTAGCGGATTTAGTCTTTCCAGGGAAACTGTTCTCGTATTCAACTATAATTCTTTCATTATAATCGCGTTCGACTACGTTCGTATTCCTTATGTTTTCTTCCTTACTTATTTGTTTTTTTTTTCTTACCATCTTCTTATGTACTGCAATATCATGGCCTATTCTATAAATATCTCACGATACGATATTGTTGTTCCCTCTGATTTCATTTCATTGGAAACATAGTGGTACCCATATATATATCCGAACAATTTTCGTGTTAACTTGCTAATATTTCGTTTCGGCATTAAATGAATTAATATCGATTCTTTCTCGTATTCCTCAATATTCTTCTCCCATTTCACAAATTTTCATCAATCAGCAATATTATGTAAAAATAACCATCTTATCGAGGTGTCTCTCTCGGAAATCTCTGATGAATCTGGAAACGTCCCGAATTCGATATATTTCGGGATATAATAATTTTTCGATAAAAAGTCGAATCGGTGACACGATCGGTGATTGTGATGAGGGTGAGCGTTCTGACTGAGCTCTCTCTCTCTCTCTCCCTCGACTTCTCGCAAAAATAGAATCAATAAAAGGAATCGACGTTACGTGGAAGTAGGTCTGCGCGCTATCCCGCGAGTCAACTCGACAAGGTTCTCGACCTTTGCTATTAAGGGACGTACCTATTCGAGCGCCGCGCCGCCGATCTGAGCACCCTCCTTTATTTATCGCGCTCAATTCCGCGTTGTCTTTGTGGTCGCCGGCGGATCGATGTCCGCGACCGACAGATTTTATTAACGAGCGCAAATCGATGCTGCTCGAATGTTCTCGCCCGCCGAACGAGATTGATCTGAGTAGAAACGTGAATATAATATTAGGTTGCGCTGCAAACAAAATAGATTCAATATTTAATTATATACGTATATATAATATATATATATATATTGATTTGATGAAATATATATGTTTTATGTATGCAATTATTAGTGATTTTAATTTTATATCAAAAGATGAAGGTGGAACATCTAAAAATGCGGAATATAGATATAAAAAATTCAAGCAAACTCGATTCTGAAATTAAATTATGTGTTTATTTTATACTGGCCTTTCTCTTTTTTTTTTTTAATAAATATTTCTGAAAATTTAGAATATATATGGAACTGATCAAAATTTTATCTTTCGAAAAGAGGTTTTAAAAATGTTGGTACAATTTCAAGATAGGATTTATAGCTTACGGCGCATTATTAGAAAGTTCAATATAAGTTACAAATTTCACAAAAGCACTTAATTTCATTTAATGTTAAATTACATTGTATTATAATGTGTCTTTAGAACAAAATTTTATTTTTCTCATTTCATATTTGAAAGAAACATTTTTTATGTAAATGTGATATCGAACAATCTTTTACTCTTTAGATTTTAAAATTACAAAAAAATAATGTAATTAAATAAGAGAAAAGAATAATTTGAAGAGAAAGAAGACAGAATAAAATTTTTTTACAAATTTCACAAAAGCACTTAATTTCATTTAATGTTAAATTACATTGTATTTAATGTGTCTTTAGAACCAAATTTTATTTTTCCCATTTTATACTTGAAAGAAACATTTTTATGTAAATGTAACATTGAAAAATCTTTTAGACTTAAAATTTCGAAGAAATAATGCAATTAAATAAGAGAAAAGAATAATTTTAAAAGAAAGAAGACAGAATAAAATTCAAGTATATCTACATAAAGAAGCAGATAAAATATTTGTCTACTCTTCTCGCATCTATATATTAAGATCGGGCATGTTTCATATCCTGTGCGCTGAACTGAGCTTCTATTAACAGTCGCATGGCCGACTGCTTGTGGCCGCGACGGTCCAATTCTACGCATTGCCGGGGTATTCCCGGCCATGCTAGGCGCATGCAAGAGCCTCGGCCGATACCATCTAACCCTGATCGGTCCTAACCCTGAAACGAGACTACCCCCGTGTGCTCTTACACAAACACGCGTCGCTACTTTTCTCGATTTTCACACTGTTGCAGAGTGCGCGTAATTATGCGCTTTGCGACAATATGCAGGGTAACTGTGAAACAAACAGTTCTTGTTTCGAGGAAGCAAATTTCCTCGTTTGAAAGAATTTGATGTAACTTGTTATTATTATTGTTATTTTTTTTTTTTTACAAAAGTTCTCCACTGAAATTAAAATCTAACAATAAGATAATGGAAGCGATGGATATCACAAGTTTGTAGGTGTTTTATCTGAAATTATAACGTCCCTCTTGGGTTATTTTCTTGGATATTAAAAGATTTTAGAGTCTTTCTCTTTCCTTAAGCACAGAGGAAAGTTGCTCCCGATGGTGTAGTCTAATCTTATCCTATACTCTCTAAAATTTCTCATTTTGGCGAAGGTACGCTCTAATAACATTTGCATGGGAATTGC